TGGACTCGCACCGTTGATTTCAAGTGGTGGAAAGAGGCTGTTGTTTTAATTTGAAACCCTTCAGGACGCAGGAAGATACAGACCTTTGTCAGTAAACAGCACATTCCTCTGATCTGAGTGTGCGGTGGAGTGCCGTTCACATCGGTCTACTCCATCATTAGCAGAGGTGGCAAAAAGTACACACATTCTTTACTCAAGTCGGGGGTCCTGGTCCAACCTTTACTTTCAAAAGAGCCATTTTTACCCCAAAGACTACAAAGAAAATCTGTCTGGAACTGCAACACATATCTGAGCCTTAAATAAAATGCTAAAATATACCTAATAAATACCAGTAAGCCAGCAACTTTGGTGCTGAAATCCAATTCTGTTTTCCTCTGAGACTAAAGCTAGCTAGCCTAGTTGGGAGACTAGTGCGACTTGCTCCGTCTCATCTCTGTCACTCCTCAGCTGTCACTATCCATTAAAAGGCAATAGAATAGTAGCCACAGCTATTGAGGTTCAGCAAAATATAGAGGAAAAGGCACCATGTCAGGACTTCAAGTAAAAGTGAAAAAGTCCCAACTGAAATGTTCTCAAAGGACATTTCAGTGCTTCTACGATTCTCGTCGTCTGTTACATCTGTTACGTCTGTTACGTCTGTCGTGTGATTTGTGCCAGTCTTGGTGTTGGGAAGGCGTGCAGTGATGCAAAAAATAATAATAATCGATAATTCCTCTCAAATGAATTCAAACTGAAGTAATAAGCCTTTTTTTTTTATACCAGGGGAGTTTTCCACTATCATACCCAACACTAGACTTCAGGCTAAAATAAATTGTGTAAATTCTGCTGTAATTTGCTGTATTTAGGCAAATTAAAACATGTGGCTGCAGTTTGAGTTCTGAAGATCAGAAGAAATGACCAAAACAAACTGTGATCCACTCTGAACTGTAACAGGAGCTCATGTGACGGGTCAGGTTAAAATTTGTTAAAAATGAAGGTTATAATATGGAATGTGTCGCCTACACGTAGGGAGGGTTGTGATTAGTGAGTAATTGTTCCGAGGTTCAGTAACAGAAACCCTATGTGTGTGTACGTGCGTGTCTGTGTGTTTTTGTGTTCCTGTTTATGCCTAAAAGTAGTGCAATCAGCAGTTCTTGGCATGCCACTGGAGCACTCATGCTGGAAGAACACTGAGTTTCTTAATCCATGTCTCTTCTTTTTTTTGTTTTAACTCAGTGACTCTCATAACACACACACACACACGCTGTCCTTTGGTTGACCCCTCTTAGTAGTCACCAGTCCCACACACCTCCTAACAACGTGTTGTAATCTCTGACTAACCTACCTTAACACTTGACTGACTTGGTGTGTTATTCGGCCACAGCTCGCCTCCCCACTTCCTCTGATTACTGATATTAAAACTAGACATGACTGAGTTCATGTTTTATCACAGCAGTAATTGTGGAGTGGGGTTGCTCTTTCTTGTGGTTGCTAAAATGCACACGGCTGCACTGCTGACATCACTGCTCTGTTTTTATGCATTCGTGTCAGAGCCCGACTGATGTATGTCAGCTGATATTGGCCTACTACAGACATTGGTGTTGTATCGATATCAACGTATATGTCAGATATGTGCCAGTATGAAAGCTGGTTTGTTATGCAGATAAAGTTTACCTTTGATAAATACATAAAACCTTGTTAACATATGAATGGATTCTGTCAGAGAGAGCTTAATCTGAAACAGATACAGGAGTGTGTTATAGCATTTTAACACCTTTATTTTTCCTCTGGACATATTCTACAGACATTTATTACAGAAAACTTTAAGAAAGGTGTATATGTGTCTGGTATGACTATGAGCAGAACCTTTTAATCGTCTATTTCTGCTGGGAACTGTGGCTCGTGTAGGCGAGACCTCGACTCTGTGGGAGGGGGCGTCGCTGGAGTGACGACTCAGGCTGCTCCAACCTGTTAACACGGACAACGGAATAAAAACCAAGACATTACGGCAGACACACATGCTGCAGGAGCAGGCAGTGTGGACCGGGGTGTAGAGAGAAGAAGCAGGCTCTCCAGCTGTTGACTAGAATTGGTTGACAATGTAAAAATTTTAATATAATATATAATTGACTTTAATTTAACCAGAGAAGGATGGACACAACAGAGATCAGTGTGTTCCAGAGAGGTACATTCAAAAGCAGGTGCATCCCCTTTTTCAAATGAAAAGATATGACAGCTAAAGTTGAAGTAATGTGAAGAGAAGACCGGAAGAGTAGTGAGGCAGACATGAGAGAAAACAAATATGGATGACTTAGGCTGAGGATGAAGGGAGATGGAGAGACGGAGAAGATAAGATAAAGGAGTAAGCGGGAGAGCCCAGTGGAGCAGAGGAAGTCTGGGGAGAAGCAGAAGTCGACACCTTGGCAGAGCTCAGGGCTGCATTCCTTCAGAGAGAGAGAGAGAGGAGAGGAGAGAAGGGCAGAGAGGGGGGTAAGAGGAGGGGAAGAGAGAGAGAGAGAGGAGAGAGAGAGAGAGAGAAGAAGAACTGACGTCCTGGAACCACCTGTGACAGAAACTTCACAGGAACGCAGGTTAAGCCCCCCCCCCCCCAAAGAGTTCATAAGAGCCCAGAACTGTGCCTCCTTCCTTCTTCCCTCCTGCCCGTCTCCTCCCTGCCGGTCCCTCCATCTCTCCATCCCTCCCAGGCCAGACACACAGCTGGCTCCCATCAGCTCCCACAGTAAGATAAGTCCTTCCTCACACAGCGGCCAATTGCTGTCACCTCCTCACTCCCACATTCCCGACTCCCACTCCTCCAACATACAAATGATGTCATTTTTGTCAGACAAACTTATGTAATCGTATAGTTGTGTCTTTATGTGACCACTGCTGCAGTTCTACAGCAAAACAAGTACGAGGGAACTTAATGAAAGAGACTGGCTGATATAAGCACAGATATAAACTATTAAATAGTTCATGCCTGTATTTGCAATTGTAAACCACACTGCAAGGGTTCCCAACCTGGGGGTCAGGGCCCACACTATGGGCCAAAGCCAAAAGAAGAAGCCAATTAAGTGTCTATGATTGTTAAAAATGAATAAAAAAGATGGTTTATTTCGTTCTGATGCACTGATTTAGATCGTTGGTGATCCGACTGTGTTGTGGGAGTGCGGTACTAAATCAGAATACTCTCATAACAAGATTTAAATCTGATGAAGACACAGTAATAATAGCAGTATCTCTGTAATCTGTATGTGTTTTAACACACTCTGACCTGTTCTGTGGCTCTTTTACTTCCGCAGGCTCTGCTCTCCTCTGAGCCCAAGTCGTCCAGTTGCAGCCTGCTGAAGATGACCATGAGAGAGCTGATCACTTTGGCCATGCCCTCTGCTAACAGGAACACCGACTGCTCCACCGTCCCTCAGGTTTGACCTCCCAGCAGCTTCATGAACCAGTCCTACTTTTACACCTTTGTTGACTTTTATCCCTAAATACACTTAAAGGTCTTAAAGTTTAATGTGTTCTCTAACCAAGCAGCATAAGAACAGGATACATACATTTCAAATCAAGTTAGGTTTTCAATACTGTAGACAGTCAGTGTGGCATCATATCTGCCATACCGGTGGTGGAGATCCTCAGCATGAAGCCAGATGTCTTTTAAAGGTTGTTTGGTATTTTAAAAACTTTTCTGGCTTATGAATCATTGATGGACGGTTGTCAGACCTGTGGACAAACATTCTTTAATGTTGTTAAATCCTTGTCTTTTATCACTGTGTGATTTGCAATGCGATTCATTCTTAATGTGACTGTGTTAAGGGGTTAAATGTTGTATGTTTACATCGCCACAGGTCCACGCTCTGAACATCCTCAGGGCTCTGTACAGGGACACTCGTCTGGGGGAAAACATCATTCCCTTCGTCTCAGACGGACTGCAGGCTGCTGTGCTGGGCTTCACCTCTCCTGTTTGGGCTGTAAGTTTGGACCTCCATGTTTTCTGCCTTTATTTGTCTTCTGCAGTTTGAGTTTAGACAGATTGACGTCACACTTCAACAGCTCTCCAGGGAGGTGTTGATACTACAGTTACACCCCCCCGGTCGCCTTTAACGACAGACTTTATTTTAATATCCACAATATTTAACTTACTTGATGAGAATGTTTGATTGACTACAGCCTCCACAATTCAATATAACTGAATCTCTTGGAAACAGTTTTAGCTAAAACTGAACATTAAAGGAGGATTTCCTGCTTTAATCTTCCAATAAACAGGCCCATTATTGTGCATCATTGGCACCAACCAATTTGTGGCGGTACTACCGAGTATTGAAAAATGTCTTTCGGTACCAAAGTAAAACTCGTCAGCCTCAGTGTGCCCACGCAGCACACGACAGGCTGTTAAAGTTACACATCGTAGAACCATTCGTTCACCTCATCGTCCGCTGGAATGGGACCCGCGGTGTATCCTCTCCTCGCCAAAGTGAGGGCAGAGAGCGTTTCAGACGGCGTGGTGTTATTTACAGACAGACAGGTAAAAGAGATTTTTGAACGATACCCGGCGCTGTTTGGTGCTCTCTAATTTATCTTTCAGTGATTCTGCTGTTTGTTCAGTTGTCACGTTTAATGTCAAACACACTTACTCATACTCTCTCTCTCTTCTGTCCTCCCTCTCTCTGCTTCTCCGGTTCCCAGGTGAGGAACTCCTCCACTCTTCTCTTCAGCACTCTGATCACAAGGATCTTTGGAGTGAAGAGGGGGAAGGACGAGCACTCGAAAAAGAACAGGTTTGCTGCTTCTCCCTCTCTAACGCTGCTCCACCAGCTCGACTTTACTGTCATGTGTATCGGTGCAGAATGAAACGCTTAGCTTTGAATGAGGGAGGTACAAATCAGTGGTTATCAGTCATGTATGTGCAAGTGCAGAAAAGAAGAAATGTGACCCTCATTTAAAACTGTATTTTGAATACTTTAAAACAAGTTGAGACGAGGTAATTCAACTTATTTTCAGTGCAGCTTCACTTATTTCAAGAGTTTAATAGCAAAACATGCAAGTGTTCTTGTACTTGACTGTATTTATCTTGGCTGTCACTTATTTATTTCACTTGTTTTAAGAACTAAATCCTTTTAGACTGAGTTCAACTGTTCAGCATTGAATCTAATTAATCTATATTTCCTTACTACACAGTCAGAAAATGTACAAGGAAGCAAACTATTTAGAATAATATCTTAATATACATTGTCCATCTCTAAAAGATGGCAAATAATGTCACCTATTTCAGTCAGGGTGCTCTCAGGTAATGTTTAACACATGACAGTTCACACGCCTGAACCTCAGTCAGAGCATTGGAACTAGAACAACCACCTACACCAGACTGATGCATGCAAGTACAATAACTATGCCAAACACAAGCCACCTGCGTCGTGAGTTTAAGCTGCTCTTCAAAGTGAGCAGCAAAGTAAGACATGTCTCCTTCTCCCCTGAAACATTGAGAATAATATTAATCTGAATCTGGTCAAAGACGTCAAGAGTTCGACTTTGCAAGTTTGTACATTGTTGTGGAGACGGAGGGCCTGTTCTTAATTCACCTGAAGTTAGAGCAAAGTCCCCACATACACTCTCCAAATCCATATCCAAACTAACACATGTACACATAATGATGAATAGTATTTAAAACTGAAGTAACAGTGGTTGTTTTACACCACCGGGGGTCACTGTTGTAACGCCACTCTGGCTCAAATGCAGGTTATACTCTCAGTCTCACTCCCACTGCTTCTGATGCAAGTCTCCACTGCTGCTGTACCACAAATACTGAAAGCACACTGAGTGAAAAGAGACTGAAGGCAGTCTCACATTAGAAGATAAAACAGAAACACACAATATAAATTTCTTCTTCTTCTTCTTCTTCTTCTTATTCTTATTATTATTATTATTATTATTATTATTATTAATGCTCTATAAAACCATTTGGGGCCGTCCCATCATCACCATGCTGTGTTATATGTGGTTTTCTACCAGTGGGCTGTAATTGATAAATGGCCCAAGTACAATACAACAACATTAGTTGCAAATCTGTGCCGTCAAAAGTACAATTATTACATGCAAACAGCTACATGTGTGGTCTCATGAAGGCCGTAAATGTTCACCGACGACACATCTGTGAACAACATGGTCTGGATTACAGGAATGTACTTTGTCACACAATTTGGGGATGTTCTTGTCAGTGTGGAAAAATGAACTGCAACAGCATTTAAACCAAAGACCGCAGGGCGCGTGAAGTGTCTTTATGATGATAATAAGTCAATAATCATTTCAGAGATTGAACTTTTCTGTCAGTACAGTAAATAACAGTCAGTCACTGATGTAGACTGATGTTGCCCTCTGGTAGCTGTTTTAGGATCATTCTTAAGTGTGTGTCAGCAAATTCAGTGTGCTAAGTTTATGGTTTTACCAAAATTAACATGTTTTCTTAAATCTGGAGAGCACGATTTGTAGACCAGGACATCTTTTCAGCCCCACAGTACAGTACATTATAATGCAACCAATGCGAACCAATGCAGATTCATATACTTTGTGCTGTTCTTCACCAGCATGGACGTAATATAGGTCTTACATTGCATTCATAATGGTCTTAAGAAGTCTTCAGTTTTACCTGCACAAACTTTTAAAGGCAAACGAGTTTACCAGAAACTTCTACAGCTAAAATCTACGTATCCAAAATCTTCAGTGTGTCGAGGAGCTGCCAGTTGGTGGATATCTCATTTTGGTGGATTAGATGTTTATATGATTATCCCCCACTGTCACACACCCAGTCGAAATGAGTTTGAGTTGTGCAAGTGAGGAATCGGTTTAGAGGTTTAACCGTCTGCGTTTTAGTTGGAGGGTTATCAGTTGTTAGTCCTGCTTCGCTGTCAGAGAGTGTTTGAAAAATTGTGGTTTGTTTTTGAGGTTTCTGGAAAAAGAGTCTTAAATTATAGCAGGCTCCCAACGCCTTGTCAAACAACCATCCAAGTATTTGGAAATCTTGATAAAGAAAATGATAGCAGACCCAGGTCGAGTGTTTTTTCCACATATATTTTATGATTTGTTGCATCCAACTCAGGTGGAAGATAGGTGGAGTTAAGCAATTTGGATTCTCACAGGAAAATATTTGATAGTGTTGCAGGCAAAGGTTTCCCCCAAACGCATGTGTTACTTTCTGGTCTCACTTTTTTTATTTCTTTATTTGGAACAAAAAAATGTTTGTGTCTCGACACTCGAGAAATGCATTTTCCATATGTTGTCACACTTTTTAATGCATAGATAGATAGGAGGATGATGGTGAGAAACAAGCACTTAAAACAACTATTGGAGAGATTCCAGCTCGGTCTGCAGATAGGTTTCACATGTTAACGACCTGCGAGCGTTCACAGTATCAAGACTGCAGAGCTGATTGTGTGAAGATTAAAACACTGTTCACAATATAAGTAGGAGTGTGGTGGTAAATACAGATTGGTAAACTGTTCAATAACAACTACCTGGTTTCCCCTCCACTGATTTTCAGTTGATCTGAAAATAGATGAGTAATCTCTTTGCTTGGGTTTACTCCCCACAGCGTCCCTGAATATAACACCACAACCATTAAATGTGGGTTTAGTTTCATAAGTCAGTGTTCGGCATTCAGATGTGTTTGATTTTCTGCTATTTCCATATTATTAGCCTAAATGCAAAGTCGGATATATTCAAGAGCTTTAAGAAAAATACAAACTCCCCAGTCGTAATTATAACATTAGCCTTCTTATGCTAAGCTACGTTAACCATGACCCATCTCCAGCTCAGTGTTTGTTAACTAAAATGGTGAACATAATAAAGCATGTTAGCATCTCCACTCTGAGCCTGTTAGCATGCTAACATTAGCATTTAGCTTGAGTGTGCCTGTAAGTAGAGCTGTTAGCATAGCTGTAGGCTCTGTTACATGTGCTTCCTCCACTGCTGTATTTTGAAATGTAAAGCAGAGTGAAAGCACATTCTGTAAAGCGTTGATATGATTGATATCTCAGTGTCCCCGCTTGGAACTGATGCAGAGATCCATCTCGTATTGGGAGCGTATTAAACAAACATGAACAATAATGTGCTTGTACCGTTTGGCTGTCGGACTGTATGATCTATATTGAGCACACAAGTGATTTGTTACTGCACAGATAATCCAGGGTAAAGTTTCACATGGGGAAGCTCTGTCTGCTTCCCTCTGCTCTGTTTCTATTGGCTGCTTCTCTGAAGGCCTCCGCATTCTCTTCACCAAGCCAAGGCTGCTCCTGTTTATCTTGTCTGTTTTCACTTGTGTTTTTAGTCTGCTGTCTCCCCCGTTGTATAGCTTTCAGTTATCTCCCCCTCCTCTTGTCTGCTGCTGTCGTATTATTACTGTGTGGGTGATTTTTTTTTTTTTTTTTTACATGCGTGTGGGAGAATGAGTGTGCTGTGATAAATGAGAACAAGAGCAGAGACTTAAGAAGCATTTGAACTTGTGTTTTTGTGACTTTACAGTATTTGTACATGTTGGTTAACCCTTCAGACTCTGCAATACAAACTGTCCACCAGTGCCTACATTGGTATTTTTGCTTATTGTGATGTAATTTCTTGGATATCTTGAAATGATTCATATCCCTTAAATCTGTACAACCTAAGCTAGAAGGTTATATAAGTCCGTAACCATAAGACTTGAAAACAGTATTGAAATTGAGTCATACATTTAAAAACATTTTGTTGTTTTTTAACTCAATAAACTAGTAAAACTTAATTTAAAAAACATTCTTGATCAATTAGTTTTGGGTTATTTTAAGTGACATTTTTATTTGTACTGTGAAAACAAAATACTTCATTAAAAGGACTTACTGTAACTTACTAAGTTATTGTCACTTAAGATTATTAGTGAAAGCTGCTAAAAAAATGTGTTTGTGTCACTTAAAATGTTTGACGTAATCCGTTTTCCAACAATTTCTTTGAGACATGTTCATTTTTATTTGTATTTTGTAACTGCTCCTCTCTTCCGCTGTTCTCCACCTGCTCCAATCAGTTGACGCCACTGTAGATCATCACCATGTTTTGCATCTAACGTAACATAAAGTAGGATCATCACCCAAAGAATGAATGCTCCAGCTATTATAGTTTTTATTTTAAATTGATTTAAACAGGATAAAGCAGCTGTGAATCTCAACTATATTCACCTGAAACTGGTGCACGACTGTGCGTGTGTGAGCAGGAAAGCTGTTACTCATTTACAGTTGTGTCTGTGGGAGTTTGTCTTCTCCCCAGTCGGTTGTGTGTCTGGTCTCTGTTATTATCATGATTTTATGGTTGTGATCTGGCAGCAGAAAATGCATTGTGACAGCATGTCCACTCTAATATCTGGCTGTGTGTGTGTAAGGGCCTCTTGGTCTGCTGAAGCTGGAGCATAAACACATTTCCCTCTCACACAAACCAGTTTATTTACAGCATTGTGTGTATTTGTGTGTATGGGACGAGACTGAGCTTCTTGCTGTCTGTGGGAATTTCAGCTGTGTATTTTACATAGTGACTTGAATCCAGACATATTGTTTGCTTGTGGATCATCGTTCCACTAGAGCCCAGACTCGGGCTCCTCCGCTCTGTGGCCGAGCATTGATGTTGATCAGATATGGTTGCTGAAATAAATGCAACAGTAAACAGAGCTGACGGAGCGAAGATTGCTCTCTGCATTCCAACCGAAGCCTCCAGCTTTATCTCCAGCCCGTGTCAGCTCCTCGCTTTGCACTACACGTGCTCTCGTACGTGCAAGAACATCCAACATTTCAATGTAAATCGGTGCTTTTGCAAACAAATGAGAGGGAAAAGTGCACGCTGATAACGCAGATACATTTATTTCAACTTCAAGATCGATGCTTTGCCAAACATCCTTCTGAAGCCTTTTGAAACCCCTTTTATTACATTTAGAGACTACTTTTCCAGTCATTGAACCACCTGGGAATTGATTAAAATGACCAAATAAGCTGTAAATAATGTTTTCCTGGAAGATTTTCATTTCATTTTGGAGCTATGCTGTGGCCAAATTAATGTTACGGTTCGGAAAGCGGGAAAAAACGTCAAGTGCACCACAAAAGCGGGCTAAAATGGAGCTAATTCCCTGGAAAGGTCCTGGAAAAGGATCCTGGAAAAGAGATTATATAAAAGAATTCATATCTTCATTCTACAAACGAATGGTTTAGAAGACGTTTAGGATGGGAAGCGAGCCTTTCTCACTATTACCACTCGCTCCTCCTCTCTGCTCTCCCCTCCTCTCTCCTCTTTTGCGACCCTTACCCCTTTTACCCCATCTAATCTGCCCCGACACAACCTGTGACCTTTGTCCTCCAGGCAGCAGAGTCTTGTCAGACTGAGAGACTCTCATTAGAGAGAGCTGAGGATTGCGGGGAGCACACACACACACAC